AACACTTACATTACTCCGTAAATGATGAGAAAAACTTCTAAAGAAACTACAGGATTACCATTTATATAGGGTATACATAAGAAAGTGTTTAATACACTATTCAAATTATAAGTGTAATGAAACTTTTCGAAAAAAACATATTTGACTTTATTTTTCCTCATTGATATATGCCCAGCTAGAATAAGATGGGTTGAGATTTACTAAACAAAAACTTAAAGTACGGTACCTATTTAATTTCAGTTCTTACCATATGCAGAAGATGACTATAACACTTAGGAATTCCTTTTTATATTAATCTCAAAAGAATAGGTCCCATGTGTGTTTATCCAAAGAAATGCATTATTTATTGTTTTTTTTGAAAAAACACCTGAAACAATGTGGTATGTTCTACCCGGGACTATGGTATAACAGTTATTTTCTGTGTGCAGAGTAATTTTAATATATTGTTTATTTTAATTGTAGATAGTACATGATACCAACAGTGAAGGTATGTCTGAAAATCAATTATGATACAGTTTCTGACATCATAATTTGTAATTTAAAGGTATTTTGCCTTGAATATTCTTTTACGTCAATGCTTGTGAATGCCTTTGAACTTCAATTATATGATTCTGTAAATAATGCCTTATATTTTCATCTAGGTAAAATTCAAACACTTGAAAATTTCATATTGCGAATAAGTGCTCTTGCAGCTGATAAGAGAATTAGTATTTATATTCAGCAGGAGGTAAGAATTCTTTCTAATATTATCTTTTGTGGCTTTTAAACTTGAACTGGCTATCTTGCTATGTTTTAATTGCAATATTAATCTACTGTGTTTCAGATATAGGATATTAGACATGTATCTAGTATTCAAGCTTCATTTCTAAATATTGGGAAAAGATGAAATTTGTTTATTTTTTAAAAAACCCTACTGTATTGATTTAAATGAACCATACAGATAAATTCATTCATTAATGTACTTTATTTACCTATTTGTTCCCTTCTATAATTTCTAGTATCTACATACTCATTTTTTTGAATATCCTGTACTATAGGTAGTTCTTGACTTATGACCAGTTACTTAGCAATTGACTGAAATTATGACAGATTCAAAAAAAGTTATTTATGACACATCCTTGAAGTTATGATTGTTGCATCACCTCAGTGGTCCCATGATTGCATTTCAGGCACTTGGCAGGCAAGCTTGTATTTACAGCTAATTACAGTGTCTAGTCACATGATCACAATTTGCAACTTTTTTTCTGTCTTTCAGCAAAAAATGCCTTTTGGTTAAATTGGATTTGGACTTATGATCTTATGAGTTGCTTAATGACCACAATTATTCACTTAACAACCATCATAAAAATGGTCATAAAATCAGGTCTAGTCACATGGTGACTGAACTTAACAATCCCATGATTTATGATCAAAATTCCAGGCTCAATTGCTGTTATAAGTCGAGGACTACCTGTACATTATTTGAAAGTATTTGAATTTTATTATGTATCACTTGACACCTTGAGTTATTTATAAAAGTAATAAAAGTGGAATAAAAATAAAATAGGGTAATGCTATTGCATTTTATGCATGTATTTATTTGTCTGACTGCAGAGCAGTTTAAGATAATAAACAGTTTAAAAAGCAGATCGTAATATTAAGGAAGAAACAAAAAGATAAAACAATCATATACTGGGAAGGCAGAAATTACATCACACTGCAGTAAGTTCACAATATTGCTCTGGGCAAGTGTCTATTGGAAGAGTTAGCTCTTAAGGCCTTGTGAATGATAGCAGAGTTGGGGCTATATGGACCTCAGGAGAAATAGTGTCCCAGAAGGCAGGCAGGGCAACAGAAATGGTATGCCTATAAGATGCCATTGTTTAGTTGGTTAAGACTCCAAGCACATTGACCTTTTGTGATCTTAAACAGAAACAATTAAAGAAAAATGGCCTCCAAATATCTAGGTTCTGAACCACAAAGGACTCTATAGATACTTTCAGCACCTTGAATTACACCTGGAAACCAACTGGCAACCAGCGCAACTTGCAAATAGAGGTGTCGTATAGGTGTATCAGATGTGCCCATAACTACTTGGGCTGCTGTAGTTTTTGAGTGGCCTTGAGGGCAGTTCCAAATAAGGTCTACTACAGTAATCTAAGCAACCGAGCCTAAGTGATAGTGAGAAAGCCCTCCCTATCCAGGAATAAGTCCAACTGGTAGAGAAGTTGACTCTCTGTGAAGACCCTTCTAGCCATTACTACTGCCTCTTTGAGCAGAGCTGCAGGGCTGGGAGGAGTTTCAAAACATAGGTTACATGTAGAGAAATGCAGTGCTATCCAGAAACTAAAGCTGGAGAGTCCCTGGAAAACCCCGCACCCCCACTGTTCAGTCCTACTAGAATTGAGCCTCAGGCTGTTTCTTCCCATCCAGACCTCAATAGTCTCTTGACAATATGACAGAACCTTGATGGTGTCACTTGGTAAAGCCAGGGGCCAAGATGTACAACTGGGTATTATTAGTATATTGATGATAACTGACCTCATACAGTTGGGTGACTTCACCAGGGAGATAAGTCTCTTGTAAATATTAAATAGAGATAAGAATATTGAGCCCTGAGAAACCCCACAGAATAAAACCTTAGGCTTGATACCACCTCCTGCTCAGCATTGATTCTGGCAACCATTGATTTTGATTCCATGGTTTATTTTTCAATAAATTTGTTTAGATGGTCACTGTGATTGTGTCAAAATTTACTTCCCTTGTAAGAGAAGGTCTTCTCTTTGCTCCATTGATTGCCTTTAGTGTGCTAGTAAATACAATTGCATGTAGTACAACTAACTCTCGGGAAGCAAACTAATTAAAACTAAAATCTCCTTCATTACATTATATGGTTATTTAAAGATGTTTTGGGCCTCATACTGAGTTTCTCTTTTTAATATGCTTAATATTCAATTACCTCTTTTTATTATCTTTAGGCAGTAAGAAAACTGAATACCATGCTTACTGCTATGCCTCGAGATATTAGAAAGAAAACAATTTCTACAAAGGAAATGCTACGAGTCATGTAATTAACTTTAATATAATGTTCAAATTTAACTTTAGTATAACACTTGGCTCCCTTGTGGAAACCTAAAATCTTGTTAGGATAATGTTATTTCAGGTTAAGAACATTTCATTTAAGTTTAATCGGAATTTGTTCAAAATGAAACATTTTTAAAGTTAATCTTTAAAAGCTGATATAAATATGACACCGTTCTGTTAATTAAGAATAATATGCAGTATTTTAAATAGGGCACAACTTATACGCAGTTTAAATTGGTTTATGGATATCCCATTGCACTTTCCAAAACCTTCTTCTCACAGATGGAATAAAGATTACATTTGGGGGGTCTTCTTCAAATTTTCATCTCACTTGTTTCAGGTGATACTTTAAAGATGTAATATTTGTATTATAATGTTGTGTCAGCAAGACCACTGGTAACTTTTGATTCTGTTAATAAGACACAGGCAGTTTATCAATTTAAATGTCTCCTTCAAGCAAGAGAGGTTGGATAACTACATGTTGTAAGAATATTTCTGTAACCCTTATAGATTAATTGACACAATCCAATAATAACAGGAATTTCTTTCCTGAAGAAATAGAACTTACAAATACTCTTAATGGTATGTCTCCCATGGAACAAAATCATACCATAGCTAAATTGTCCTGGTTAAGAGAAAAATTGATTAATAAATACAGTACATACAGTCTATATCTATAATTTCACTCCTAACCTTAAAAGCTCTGAAAAGGAGAGATCGGTCCATGAGACAGAGGCAAATATAAAAAGGGGGAAATGTAGGATATAAATCCAATAATAAATAATATATATTATTAAAAGTAATGACTATTAAATCATATCAATAGTTATTATTATATCAAACATTTCTTCTTTGTACTTTTTTTATAGAATCAAAAGCTACAAACAAATCATTATTAACAAAAACAATACATGCAAATAAGTTTGGATACATGCAGACTTTTAAAAAATAATTCTTAAAAATGTTTCATGCCTAGATTGTTCTTAATTCTGGGCATCATCTGGAAATATAGATTAAAAATACTAAACCCTCTGAGAACTGGTTGGCATCCAATCTGATGACATTCAAGATGCTATTACAGACCTGCCTGCTCTTCTAGACTTTGGGCAGGGTAATAGTTGAGTCCCTATTGGATGGAGCTTTTGGGGTTTATATGTTTACTTCAGACTGCCTTTGGTCTGTTTTTTTGTCTTTTGTCTTTTTTTTTTTTTAACTTTCAGTTGTAAGTTGTCCATAGTCAACAGGTGGCCTATAAATTATATAAACAGACATTACATAATGTAAGTAATGTTTAAAAAGCCAATCAAACTGAATCACAGTATTTGTTTGACAGGAATGATATGGGGAAAAGAATTTTGGATGCTGGGGGTAAGCACAGATTATAATTTCAACATACGTATTAATGTTATCCAGAGCTGCTTAATGCTAAGTGTATGTATTTTAGAAGTTTTCTATAGCTTCCATGCCACACACGGAAACAATCTTTTTCATAGGACCAGTGATACCGAACTTTCACAGTGGAGCCATTGTTTCGTTCATTATATTCCACCCAATCATTAATACATCAGCGTTCTTAATTCATTGGTTTACTTATTTGCCTATCAATTTTATTCTTTAGTTCCTTTATTTTGACTACATTATATATCATTTAAATCCAGCACCTACCTTCAACTTAAGTCAGAGGGTTCAAAGAGATTAGGTTTTGAATTTTAAGAGCAGGGGGTGGACCATTTCATAAGATGGTTTTTCTTTTTCCTAAGAGGTAGGGATACTTTCAAATGAACTGAGGAGTAGCCAGCCACCATTTTTATTTTGTAGGAATATCTCTGAGATTTATGTAGACCTTGAAGCTTTCTTGAAAATCCAAGTAGTGCTGGCCTACAAGCCAGCTTCCCATTTCGTTAGAAGAAAAGGATCCTTTTAAAAATTCAAATAGGATGGCAGAGATTCTTGTGAGTGCTAAGAAACCTGTCCACAAGTATATTCATACTATGAATAACAGTCTGAGTACTTCAAATATATGCAACAAATTCTATGTATTGTTTGTATGTGTACACACACACACACACACACACACTTAATTTAAATATTACTGCAGGCAGTAATATTTAATCACTATCAAAAGGCTTTATGGTAATATTCCTATCATATATATTATAGACTATGATCTTCAAGTTGCCATTACTGAAGCATTATGCAGAATGACATCAGAAAAACAAAGAAGAGAGCTGGCAATCCAGTGGTTTCCAATGGATTTTGTCAGCAGTGCATTTAAACAAATTAAAGATTCTGAATTTGAAACAGTAAGTCATATTCAAATACTGGTTCTTTCAAAATAGGAAAATTGTCAAAGGACTTATACTACTTTTCTTTTTAAACAGGACTGCAGGAAGTTCCTTAACCAAGTTAATGGCATGCTTGGAGACAAAAGAAGGTATGCATAACATTAACCACATGTAGATTTCTAATTACAGAATATACTCCAAGTATGGCTTTTCATAAGTTGAAAAAATAGTCACAAGACCATTCTTTTGAAGTTGTTATTCATGTTTGCCAACATCAGCAATCTAGATGTAGCATTAGCTGTTAATGAAACATAATTAGTGCATCCTATAAATTTTATCTTACCAGTGTTTTGAGAGTGTATCCTATTGTATGGCAAAAGCTGGGATAAAACCAATTACATAATAAGTAGTAATTCCATATATCTTATGGAGGGAAAATCATGTGTGATTTTATCAGAAGTGTATGTTTAAACTTTTTTCCCCAAAGAAAAGGGTGATGGGAATTGGAAATTCTATTTTTCTAAGTAGAGATGAAGAAAGAAGCAATTAAACTACTTTTATTATGAAAATACTGTACTCTCTTTCAGGGTATTTACTTATCCTTGTTTATCAGCTGCCCTGGATAAACATGAGGTAAGTTCTTTTCTTTTGACTATGTATACAATATATTATTTGAAAAATAATGATGCTTTATTTGAATTCAGGAATTTTGCATTTGACTGGTAATAATTCAAAGAGTTTTGATTTAGAAATGGGAACAGAATGTTCTTAAACTAATATCAGAACTAGTCATTTGAATGCAGACATCAGCACAGCATAGAGGGCCTGCTCAGACATAAGTTATTTTAGGATAGAAATTAGCTACTTAGCTAAACTGAGAATGGCGATTAACTCGATATCCTCTTTCTCACCTCCTTTTAAGTCCACGCCTTTGTGCTTTTGGTTTATGCTTTATGTCCTGGCCTTGTGCTTTAACTAGAGTTTGAAACCAATATTAAATTACAACTCCTATTTTCAAACATAATTGAAAACGGAAGTTTAAATACTAAAATAAAACGCTGAAGCTGTTCCACAAGAAGAATAAATACATTTACCCTTGGCATAATAACCCATAATTATTAATATGAGAACATTGCAAAATCTTATAAAAGGTTTGCATATAGAGAGTTACAATGATAATTTTAAAAAAAATCTGATTCTATTATAGCTACAGATGCCAGCAGATGAAAACCTTGAAGAATGTTGGATTGACTTTAATGTTGGTAGTAAAAGTATATCCTTCTATGTTGCTGCAGATGATGAAGTAGGTTAAGTTTTCTTTATTGAATCAAACTTTTTTTAGATTGTAACAACCTTTTTAGTTATCAGAATCAGAATAGTTTGTTGTGGAAGTCAATGTTAAAAAAGCTCCTTCCTTCCTTCCTTCCTTCCTTCCTTCCTTCCTTCCTTCCTTCCTTCCTTCCTTCCTTCCTTCCATCCATCCATCCATCCATCCATCCATCCATATTGCATCTTACCAGTTATATTTTAGTATGATCATCTTTAAAATATAAAAAAGAATCCAGGGTTTTTAAAGTATAGATGGTAAAGAATATCAACCCATTTCTCAGTGGGTTTTTTTTTGCAGATGCGTACTTTCTTTCAAATTAAATAACCATTAAGCTTTATAATATCTTATACATGTATGCTCCCCCTGTACTTCTAGTCAGGGAAAGGTAACGATAACGAATCCGTAAGGTAATAGATCGTTAGAAGAATGGTCGGGTTGTCAATACTAGATTCAAGATAACGATTACTAAGGACCTACCCTCTATGTCACCCTAAAAGTACACATACTACTTCGACAAAATAAAACAAGTTTAGTCCTATTGGTAACTGTTGTATAAATCCTAAACTTTTTCATAATTGGGCAAGAAAAACTGAAAGACTAATCTAATACTTAGCCCAGAGTCATGAAAAGATAATTGGCTGCTCAGACTTAACTTTTAAGGATAGAATGAATCTTTGTAAGGATGGAGTGGACATTAGAATAAATTTTGCAGACAAATACATTCTAAGGTGGTCTTGATGCCTCTGAGTTTTCTGCTTAGTTTGGCTATTATTAAAGTTATTAAAGTCCTCCTAAACCACAGAGTCCATATTGCTGACAATGGGATCTAGATAGTCTTCAAACGAGTTATTTTTCTTCATCCTAAATGCTAAATGTTAAGTTTGGAAAACCTTTTTTTCACTCTATTGACATTCCAGAGCAGTTACTAGTGACTATTTAATATGATCTCACATACTGCCAGGCTGTTATGATAAATCTACTTAGCTGTTTAAATCCATCTTAATACTTACTGCTCATAATAGGAAAAAGCCCTTGATTCACAGGCAAAACATATGTTCCTTTTCAACAGCAACTGTCTGCTCATCTAAGTGTCATATTGTCTGGGAACACAAAAGAGGGATGAAGAAGAGTTTTATAGCTGCTATTATTTCAAGCTGTAATATTGTGTGTACATAAAAAATATATCCTACTTTGGCAAAGTTATTATCAAATCCATATTCCAATTTTGATCTGTTGGAAAAGAAAACCTGTATCAGAGATAAAAGTTAATATCATTAACACAAAATACTGACAAACAGTTGGCATCCTGCAGAACTATATTTTGGAAATACTACACCAAATCTTCAGCTGTAATCTATAACAGTAAACAATATCACACTTCTTTACTTTTTTCATAAATTTAACTTCTAGGGTCAACAGTGGGAAACTGTGTGCATACCAGAAGAAGATGTTAGGACCTACTTAATTGAAGGTACTTGAGATTTTAATGCTTTTCTTATTCAAAATGTTAAGGATAAGTATGATATTCAGAATTGCTATTTCTATTTCAGAAAAACTTTTACTATTTCATTGGTGTATTTTTTTCAATGTTTGCAAAGCAAGTATGTTACTTCCAAATAAACAACTATTTAATAATAAAGAATATGTTTCATTTCTGTGTAGAAAAAGAAAAAGAGAAAATGTTAATGGTACATCTAAACAACTCAATGTCTGTTGGTGCCCAGGAAGGTGAGAAAATAACCTTACATTTCGATTCTGCATTGGAAATTATGGATGCAATAAGAAAAGTTTATGATGCTACAAAATGTCAGGTAACATCTTTTTCTTTTTCTCTTCTTGAATAAAAATTACTAACCACTGTTTACTATTATATTTCTAGCTGCTTATACTTGTCTGTATCTACGCAGTTAAAGATAGCATAATTCCAGCAGTTATTGTCAGAATAATAACAACAACCATAAAATAAGGAAGGAATGAGATACACACCTGCTCACATTTTTTACAGAGCCAGTTTGGTGTTCTGTTTAAAGCATCAGACTACAAACTGAAAGATTGTGAGTTTTAGTCCTGCCTTAGGCACAAAGCCAGTTGGATAATCTAAATTTCACTTCTGAAATCTGTCAAAAAAATTGCAGGGATTTGTCCAGGTAGTTGACAGGAGTCGACACTGACTTAAAGGTGTGCATACATGTGTACATGCACACACTCTTCACATCCAGTTGTTTAAAAAAAATATTGAATTTGCAGTGTTATTTTCAAGTAAGATAAAATGAAAGAACTGAAAAAATATTTTGTAACTGTTTGCAATCTGGAGGATTTGTTTCCCAAGTGAAAGAAAAAGCAACAAAACTAATGCATCACATTTTTATCATAATATGATATGTAATGTAAATAAAAGTAAACTAAACTAGAAAAAATATGAACTTTTTATGTAACACCTTTCTTTTTTTGCCTATTTATTGCTTTAGGGGTTTACAAGGAAGAATACTGGGTCAGTTGCAAAAACAACGGTGCATGTAGTTTTTGATGAAAGTGGATCACAGGTAAATTTTCCAGTTACAATGATAAATATTTAATACATGTGTTTAACCTGGGCAATACACAGGAAATGCAAATTTTGAAGCTACAGATGGTATACAGTAGATTTTATTATTTTTTTTGTCAATGTGCCTTTCATAAAAACCTCCCTTTTATTTAGAAAATTAATCCCGCCCCTATTCAGCAAATAATTGGATCCTAATATATAGGATCTCTCTGTTAGAACCGTGAAATTAATTTTTAACAATTAGAAATTATAGGCTGATTTAATCTGAACCATAATATTTCTAAGCATTATTATAATAATGTCATATGAAATTAATGGGGAATTTTGTTTAAAAATGAACATATTGCATTTGCAGCTTTGTTAGAATAAAACAGTGATGGCGAACCTTTTAGAGACCGAGTGCCCAAACCACAACCCAAAACCCACTTATTTATCATAAAGTGCCAGGGCTGCATCAGCATTGTGGTGCCCTCGGGGGGGGCATGAGAGTGTGGCCCACTGAGTGGGCATGGCTCCAGTTGTCACGGCAGACTGCGTGGGCATGGCTGGGGTGGGCATGGCCACCGTGATGTTGCTCACGGGGGGGATGCTTGTGAGAGCCGGGCAGGGTTGGGAGAGATCCAGGGGGGTCTCTGGTGGATGGGACAGTGGGCAGGAAGCCCAGCATAGATGGAGGGAGGCACGCAATCCTAGCTGGGAATGGGGGGCCATGGTGCTGATGGGGATCCGGCTTTCCCTGCTCGAGGTGGCCTTTGGCTTGCTGGGTGTGGGCGTGCTCTACCACCTCTACTCAAGCTTGCTAGCTGGCCGCTTCGCCTCCTTTGTGCTGGGTGGGGCTGCCGCTTCGGGTGGTGGTGGCGGCCTAATGGACGTGCGCAAGCTGCTGGCAGCGGCAGTGCGCGTGCCCACAGAGAGGGGTCTGAGTGCCGCCTCTGGCACGCGTGCCATAGGTTCGCCACCACTGGAATAAAAGGAGAGGCGGTATCACGCAAGCTGATGGGTGGTTTATGTAGCCCACTTACCTCCCTTCCTCTCTCTTTGCTGCCATCTACTGGTCAATAAGTCAAACAGTTGACCAGTCAATCACCCCATAGTTTTCTGATGTAAAAAAATTCAGACAATTGTCAGTACCGTGGGGGGGGGGGGAATGTATTGCATGCAATAACCAGAGTAAGGGAATCACTAATTAGTATCCTTAATATATTATGGGTCAGGGCTAGGGTTTCGAAAGATCTAAAAAAGCCCGACTACCTTGTCATATAAATGTCCTCATTGCTAGCTGGAGTTTAGTTGTATTTGAAAGCATAGTAATAATGGGTTTTTTCATATTTAAAATGACTAGGTTCTTGTACCAGAAAGTCAGATATCACCTTTGAAAGAGAAAGAATGTAAATCACAGGAAGAAAAAAATAGTTTCTGCTCTCAACATCAGTGTCCTCAGGCAGAGATAAATCCAAGTAAAAAAACAATTGAGATGGACTTCCAAACCGGTCAAACCAAGGTAGTTTGAGCTTTTAAATAGAAAAGAAGAATTCTTGTTTTGTCATCTTCAATTAAATGTATGAATGCTAGGTTAAATTATACTTCTCATTTTATTTCAAGACCACCCCTGGTAAAAGGAAAATGTCTGAGGCATCAATGATTTTGTCATCCACTTCCAGGTTTTCTGTGCAGAGTCCATTTTCCTTAATTAATACTTGTAAGTAAAATGGCATATAGTATTGTGCCTTCATTCAGTATGTTTCTAATGTATTTTGTTATTTTTAGAAAATGTTCCTCTGTCATCATGGGTCAACAGCTATCATTAGCCTCTAGAAATGATGTTAGTGAGTTTGTAAGTTGGTCAAGATGGCCTCATAAAATCACTTCAAATTTTGTAATTTTGTTTTACTCTATGATTCCCTGTACATAAAGCTATTAGCACGAGTATCATAAGTAGTACTACTAGTGAGTTGATAGATTATGTTCCCATTATTCAGTGGAAACCAAATAACCTAAAAACACTTACCTGATAGGCTGAGATGAATCATTTTACTGTCTTCCTTCTCCAGCCCTAGACTGTTACATTTTTATATGTAACAGGAGACTAATGTGTGTGGGTTCTGATAAAGAAATAGAGAACTGAGCCTCCTTGGAAATAGTATGAATTTAGGGAGTTCCATAATCCCTAAAAGGGAATATTTTCTCCTGCGTGCTATGGAAACAGAATTCTGGATAAGCACTGGAGGTTGTGAAAACATCCCAGCCATTCGGATTCATGCATTGCCTTACTCCAGATAAAGGGAGCAGGCAGGGAAGTTCCTAAATGACACACAGCCAACAAGAGACAAAAGAAAATCACAGTTTAGGAAACTCATCAAGCAGCATTTGTAGAAATCAAGTTCTGTGGAAGCAATTCTACTCTGGATTTTTCTTACGATAATGCCCAAATTACTAGCAATGATGGATTCTGGGAAAGAGCAATACCCTATGTTTTAATGCAAACATCTAGAGTGCAGTTTGTTTATATACAGACTGTTTTATACCCTTCCTCTGTTGGGTGCAGTATCTTAACTTAACCCATCTTAGCTTCCACTGACTTGTAGCTTTTGGTTTATCAGAATCTTGTATGAGGCAGGATCTCAGGGTGATGAACATTGGTTAATTCACTGTAAATCTGAAGGATGCCTTGAGCAATTCTCTTCCATGAAACAGTGAATTCGTTTATTGTAATTTTCGTGGAAATGGCATAAAACACTACAGGTTGCATTAAAAGAAATGAACTGTGGGTTCCTTCTCAGCAACTCCACGAAAAGGGAAGATTAAAACCCCTCTTCAGATGACGAGCTTAGTGGAAAGAAATGATGTTTTCTCAGTACCTGAGACAAGAGCAATGAAGGCTGTCCGGGAAGCTAATTGTGCACCTCTACTTTCTGCAACCAAGGCTCTTAACAGGAATAATTCCATTGAGAAGGTAACTTTTAGATTTCTACAGCAGATTTCAATCTGAAAACTACATGGTTCTTTTCTAACCTCCAAAGTTTGGTTAAAAGCTACACATTCCCCCAAATAGTAAGCTTTTTTAAAATTGAGAATTAATGAAGTATACAAGGCAGTTGAAAAATTCTGTTTTTGAAGCACAACATTTTTTATAACTATCCAGTTTGGTAAAGTGGATCTCAGGAAAAAATAATCATTAAAAAAAAGAGAAGAAGTGAAAGAAACAAAAGTGAAGTAGAATAATTGCAAGAGAAAGAGCAAGCCTTATATAGGAAAAAAAAATAGAGGACAGCTTAATCTTCCAACAAATTGATTGGCAAGTAGACATAAGAGGATGGCAAAGTTGCTTGGGAAAATAGTTTTATAACAGTGTCGAAGATATGTGTGAAATATTAGAAAATATTGAATTCACTTTTAATCCGGGATATGGTGTTTGCATCTTGTGCTTGAGCTAATTGGCGTAGAAAATAATATAAATAAACATGGATCTTAATAATATTTGTGATTTATTATGTATACATATAGGAAGTTCCAGCTGAGAAAATGAAAAATATGATCCACAGTGAGGAAGATGTAGATATTAATGGAAAGCAAAAATTAGGTAAATTGCTCAACATATTTCAGTAGACATGGTTTAAAATAGTTTTCATGTTGGTGTAGAAAATCTTCATTAGGATTGCCTTTCATGTCTAATTTAATATGTATGTTTCACATAGATGAATTAAGTGATATTGTTCCTGATTCCCAACCACCAATATGCAAAAGTGACAAATCATTGTAAGTACTACAAATAATTATAGCTAAGAAATATATATGCTAATATACCTAATTTGAGCAATACAGTCTGCTTTAATTTGATGTTGATAGAGATTTTCTGCATGTATGCTTCAGGAATACAACTAGTTATCTTTGATCTTACTTCTGATTTCTCAACAAGTATCTACATAGACATTAGAAAGGAGGGGTTGTATCTGTATAGGACCAGAAAATAATATTTGCCAACTTTTTATCATTCTTTATTTCTTGTCTTAGAGAAAGTACATTAATATATAATTATGATGTAAAGATTAGTTCGTTAGTGACAGATCAAAGTTACAAGGGCATTGAAAAAGTGACTTATGCCCATTTTTCATACTTATGACAATTACAGCATCTCCATGGTCATGTGATCAACATTTAGATGCCTGGCAACTGACTCATATGACAGTTACTGTGCCCCAAGGTCATGTGATCACCTTTTCTGACCTTCTAACAAGCAAAGTCAATGGGGAAGCCAGATTCACTTAGCAATGGTGCTACTAACTTAACAACTGCAGTGATTCGGGTCGTAAAATGGGGCAAAACTCATTTAACAACTGTTTCATTAAGCAACAGAAATTTTGGGCTCAATTGTGGTTGTAAGATGAGGACCACCTATATTGAACTCTGAACACCAGATTTTGAACCTGGAGACTTTCAGGACCAACTTATTACAGCAGTTTCTGCTTATCCAATATAGCAGTTTCTGTTCCTCCAATAAGCAGGGACCATGAGGGCCTGGCTTTTCTGTTGCCACCCCTTTGCCAAAATGTTCCACCTGAGTCAGATTAGTATCAACTCTGCTACCATTTGGAAAGCTTTTAGTGCTTGATTTTAGTACTTGTGGGTCTCCTTCACAAATAAGCAATTATTATTGTTATGATTGTTTTTCCATCATGTCTTGATGCAAAGGATCAATGTTTGCCATGGTCAGGGCTTTTTTTTCTCATAGAACGCCCAGAACGGAGTTCCGGCACCTTTTTTGGATGGAACCTTGTAGGGTAGGCAAGGCAGGTTGTACGACGTATGTGAGTTCTGGCACCTTTTTTTTTTTTTAGAAAAAAAGCACTGGCCATGGTTATCTTTATATTTGCATCCCTGAATGCCATGTTTTTGCAGATAGCACTTTCAGCCAATCATTGCTCAGCTCAAGCTGGATAATAGTTGAACACCAAGAATGCAAGCCAATCAATGCCGATGGTCTCCACTTCAGACCTGCAGAGTGTCATGTTCACTACTTGTCTAACTTAAAGGGCACTGAGAATACTATAGCTTTTTTCACTTCCTCCAAAACAAAAGAAACAAAAATATTCTAACCTTCTTTTGTCCAAAAACATGCACAGAATCCAGGTGTCTGTACACGTGTATCTCTATTCATTTGTCTGTTGATTTTTTTTAAAAAAAAATCATTACTCTTGATAGCATACTGTTAGGATGGTTGTAAGGAAGGTTGAGTTTTAGAATATTTACAAAATGCGGAAAAGCAACATTGTATATAAATCAGTGTTGAACTGATTCGTCAGTAATTTGAATGAAGTAAGATGAACAGTAGCTTGGTATTCAGGATGGTTATAATTTTGTTTTTTAAAAAAATATATCAAGAAATGTGAATTGGCATTGCAGTATACTTTGGAAAACTGTAAATAACTCTTACTCACCCCCTCCTGTGCCTTTGTATGGGGATCTACATTTGGATACATATAAGTATCCAAAGGCTGCAAGTGGTTGTACAATTTGGCTACTTTGCTTAAATAGAATGCATTTTATGTTTGAAATAATCACATAAGTGAAATCATTAAGAAGTTGCTAAAATATGTGTGCTTTTTTTTTCAGATTGCCTGGCCTTTCAGATAATTATATTGCTGAAATTAAAACGCAGAAAAAAACAAAGTGCTGGATACCTGAAACAATAATAACTCAATGTCAAAAGATTACTGCATCAGAAAGTATAGTATATCAAGGTTAAGTCCTTATTTATATAAAAAGTAATGTCAAGGTTATATTAGGTTTTTTTTTATTTATCCAAAGAAAATATTTAGAAAGAAAATAGTTACCCTTAAACTGTGTGTTTTTGTGTGTGTGTGTGTGTGTGTGTTTATATGTGTGTGGGTTTGTGTTAGTTGTTTTCTAATAGCAGAAAAGGAGCAAATATTTGAAAAAGGCAGGCAGCTGTTGAAAGGGGTAGCCATTTTTGTCTCATTGTCAGTGAGGACTCTAATATGATTATCCATCGTGTCCATGATTGTCCATGTTTCTCCCTCTCCCTTTCTCCTGCATCATTGCTGAAACGCAACCTCATCATATAGAGGACAAACACTTTAGGCCTAATATAAAAAAGTTAAAAGTCAACACTTAAGCAAAGGACATCATCCCCTCTCCTCCAGAGTCAGACTAGGGAAGTTTTATCTCAATATCCAAGCTTTCAGCAACCAAGTTATAAGACCAGCATGATTTAATAAGAGAAGAATGTATTCCATCTGCTCAATAGGACAATTAATTCTTTCTGCCAATTACGAAAAAGTTTCCTTTCTCCCTCTTTCCCATTATGGCCCATTTGTCTCTTTTCCTTGTCTCTTCTCCATTTCTCCATCTAGTTCTGTTCTCCACTTTAGCTTTCCTGTCCTTCCTGTTTTCCCTAACCTCAACCGTAACATCTAAATGTGGACAAGACCTATTTTCCCTTCTTAACATCCCTGTGAGGTAGGTTGGATTGAGAAGAAGTGACTGGTTTGCATGCACCCATAACTTAGGGTACACCTCAGGATCTCCTCCTCCTCCTCCCTCTGAAAAGAGGAAGTATGGCTTGTGAATGAGAGACACAATGGTGTGCAGATAGAGGATCAATTCATTTCTAATATTGCCTTATTTACAGGCAATTAATTTTAAACAATAGTTATTAATTCAACGAAGAGATCAACCCCGACTGCTCTTTAGAAGGCCAGATCCTGAAGTTGAAACTCAAATACTTTGGCCACCTAATGAGAAGGAAAGACTCATTGGAGAAGAGCCTAATGCTGGGAAAGATTGAGGGCAATAGAAGAAGGGGACGACAGAGAATGAGGTGGCTGGATGGAGTCACTGAAGCAGCAGGCATGAGCTTAAATGGGCTCCAGAAGATGGTAGAGGACAGGAAGACCTGGAAGAACGTTGTCCATGGGGTCGCGATGGGTCGGACACGACTTCGCAGTTAACAACAACAACATTAATTCAACTAATATTTATTAATTTGTCCTAGAATTTCCCTCTTTAGAATGAGGCTTCAGAACCAATATCTAAATACACACACACAGGCGTAAAAATGGGAAATATGTGCAAACATTTTGGGATTGGGGGAAATCCCTAGAAGTGGTTTTACCTGGAGTTGGCAGCCCTAAGTTGACAAGTGTGTAATTTTTGTGCTTGTAAAAACATTAAATTCTGAGTTGACTTCCTTTTGAATAAGTATGGTAGTTTATCTTTATTTAATTTTAAACTTTTGTTTTTGTTTTCTGTTAGCTGCTAACCTAAGTGACAGAGCTGCTAAGCAAAAAGCTTTCGCTTCAATATTTGAAATGACTTCTTCTGAGCTAAGACATAAACAGTGTTTCAGTGGTGAACTCGTAGAGGATCAACACAGCAAAACCAATAAAATACCAGACTCACAAACCAATTTTAAGCATTTGGATGAGAAAAGACCAAAAAGTAAAAGCAGAAAAAGTGTTTCCAATACATCTGAAATATCACTTCCTGCTACCAAAAAGAATAATAGTTCTCTAATAAATCCAAGGCATTCCAAATCAATCTCTGAAATGAATGATCATGATACTAGATTGAATGTATCACCTCCTGAAACTGCTAATAAAAAAACTGATCCAATAAATTATGAAAAGGTAAAATAACTCCAGCATTGCTTTTCTAGTTGTATAGTAAATCAAAATAGTGATTGCTTTTAGTTTATTAACTATTTCTCATATTATTGATACATTAGGTAACCCTAATTAGCAAACAATGAAGAACAGATAGCACTAAGGATGCCACAGTATTTAATTTTCTTTCTTTCTTTTTTTTCAGAAAGCAAAATCAAAAGATGTGATTGAAGCAGCAGAAATGTTAATAAGTAAAATCAGCAAAAGATATAAAGAGAAGAATGGTGTAAAAAATACAGGAAAACCGTGGCAGTCATTTTCGGATAGCAGGTATTGTATATATATATTATTTTTATGTAACTGAAATGTACATAGATATTATATGTTAAAAGTAAATAGTTTGCAATATTTTTTCATTATCTCTTTTACTTTTCAATGTAGTTTTCTATATTTTCTTATTCTTATTCTTCTTGTGCCATATCCGTTATCGGACATTGGCAATCATGTTGGCGATCCTGTTTTTATCAGCAGCCGCACGAAAAGATGCTGCTGAGTTTTGTCCAAACCAGTCCCTTAGATTTTGAAGCCACAATGTTCTTCTTCTGCCTGGACCTCATTTGCCTTCAATCTTTCCCTGGAGGATTAAATGGAGTATGCTGTATTTTTCTGGGTGTCGCATCACATGTCCGAAATATTCTAATTTTTGTTTTTTAATTGTTTTGATGATTCCCTTGACTTTCCCAGGCCGCTTATCACCTCCTCATTTCTGATCTTGTCAACCCAGTTTTTATACGTAACAGCCGCCTGTAAATCCACATTTCAAATGCTTCTAGTCTCTTCAGGTGGCCTTCTGTCAGAGATCAACTCTCTGCTCCATAGAGCAGGATAGAAAAAATATAGCATCTGACAAGCCTGATTTTCAGTCTTAGATTTTCTTATGTGTATCTTTTATCTGTTTAAACATTTTCTAATATAACCATGAAATGGAACAAACGTTTTAGTGATTAACTATCTTTTTTCCCATCCTTTCATATTGCATTTGTGAAATTAGTTACATTGTATGTATTTATTTTGTTTATTAAATTTACATGTCACCCATTAGACGATTCTTTTACATAACAGTAGTATAGTTATAAGGTTAAAGTTATTCTGTTTATGAATAATGTCACAATTTTTTAAAGAAATGTTAATTATATTAATTTGAAGTTTAAAGATTGTGGAGCTGTTTCATTCTCTGCTACCTGAAAATACTGATAAAATATACTGAAAGTAATAAAATGCAATATGTAACTAATTCTATAAAAGTAAGCGATCTCAACATCTTTACTACCAATAACATACAGTAGAAAACATATTTTGGAAAATTGCTTATGGCAATATGGTTCAGGTAGTTCTCAATGACCGTTCGAAATGATGGCAGTGAAAATGGTGACTTATGACTGGTCCTTGCACTTCCAACCATTGCAGCAACCCCCGCCGTCACATGATTTCGAGGAATGTATTTCACATTGTGTTTCAATCATTTAATTATATTACTTAAGAGCAGTATTTAAATACAACCTTATTTCCAAATGAAGATTTCCAGCTTGGGACTGATCTGTGTTCCATCCATTTTTCTTACAGGACATCTTTAAATAAAATTGATAGCGATAATAAGGTATGTTTTTTTTTCTTTACAAATATGCCAGAAAATGATTTTAGATATTTAATTTTATAAACAAGAGTAGATTAAATACGTTTGAACTCTGCACCAAATAAATGGTTTTTGTTTCAAGTGTGAAATATATAGTAGCATTTTTTTCAGGTTTTGTAACTGAACTGATCATCATGTCTAGGCCAGTGTTTCTCAACCTTGGCATCTTTAAGATGTATGGATTCAGCTTCCAGAATTCTGGTTGGTGAATGCTGGCTGAAAAATTCTGGGAGTTGAAGTCCACACATTTTAAAGTTCCCAAGGTTGGGTATAGGCTGGTCTGTAATGTTTTATTACTGGATTACTCTGTAATTCAGAAATTGCCTAATTTGACTTTGCTGGCATGTCACACACACACACACACACATACAAACAAAAAGCAATTCATAATAAAGAATAATGATTTATATTACATTAAATTATTTAAATTTATTATTAAATAAATAAAATACTTGCATAATTGTAAATATTTTTTCAAAATGTCTATCCGAGGCAGCTCCAGGTCACACAAAATCTGCAAACTTTGGAGAATGCTCTTCTGTGGCCTTGCAACTTCTGAAAAGAGCAGGAAGCATGCCCTGATCTCACATGCTTTGGGGAGGCTCCAGAGGCCTCTCAGAAGGTCCTCCTAGCAGGGCCCCCTCACGTGGCTTCTAGAGGGTCTGGTGTATTACCAAAACTGACATAGAGTATCATCTGTAACATGCCTATCATAGGCTTGCCATCACCAGCTTTGACTGAATGAGATAATGCATAGCTGGGAGGAAAGCAGTTAAACCAATGACTCGATACACAAGGACTCCTCACAGCTAAATGACTGCCAAAACAAAACTTTGCTGTGGATGACTTAGAGTTCATTGACTGTTTTTTTTTTAAAGCCAGGAGCCACCTTTATGTGTAAGGAAAAACATCAGCAAAAAAAAAAGCAATAATTGCTTTGCAGTTACCATAATCTGTTACTTGATGTTGCTAAATAAGTAAGGTGTTAACTCTTACAGAAAAGCTGCCAGAAGAATGTTTTTGTTTTAAAACTAAGCATTAGGAAAACCTCAAAGAGGAGATGTGCCAATTGGGAACGTGAAAGGATTTAACTGCTCCCTTTGCCCTTTATGGGTTGGCTGAGCGATTCAGAGGTTTTATTTAAAGAAACTGTTAAAAAAAAACCATTTTTTTCTGTTTTCCCTTTTGAGGTGGAGGGGGTTTCTAGGAACAAGTTCTAATTTAAATAGATTTTTCAGTGGGTGACTATTGTAGGAATTTATTGTAATATTTTCAAAAATATTTAAAAATTATCCTCTTTGTCAAATTTTCTGCAAGATCAGTGACAGGTGATTTTCAGTGTAGATTTTACATTCCACCTACTTTTGTAGCCCTCAGGAGAAAGTTAAGGAAATAGTTGCTGATCTTGAGTTCCCATTGTTTCCTCTGGCCAGAACCCTCAAACTATTTTGAATTGTATTGTTTTATTCTTATTTTTTAAAATGTGAACTGCCCAGAGTTGTCGGGAGTTGGACAGGGTACAAATTTAACAAATAATGATTTTAAAAAATTATTGAAGCAGGCTTTGAATGAGACAGGATATTTTTTTCTTAATTTTAATTGCTAATTGTCTGACATTTGTTGATTACTTTTTTAAAACTAGCCCTACTTGGAACATAAGGACAGGATATATCTGTTTAATGAATACTCTTATTTATTCATTTCATTAAATTTGAAAAATGGGTAGTATTGATGTGTCATAAATCTACTTGTATAATTATTCTTTTATGCCTAGAAAAAAAGACAGAATAGAAGAACTGGAAATTTCAAAACTACAGTACATAACAATACTAATGAACAACATGTGTAAGTAAACAGTAATCTAATACAAATCTAGCCATTTGAGAGATGAAAAGATAAAACACTAAACAAAGTTTTATCTCTTTTGATAGGGATGATGTCTATGACTTTAATCTAAGTGGATTTGATGAACCTACAATAAAGCTTGGAGTAAGAAAATTATAGTATATAATATGTCAGTAACTATATTCTTCAACAATTCTTCAACAACATGACTTTTCATTATTTGGAATTTATGCTTCTTATTAATTCATTCCAAAATATAATTTGATTCTATAACAGTTTCATCCTTCTGTTGGCTTATGTTAAAATTGTATTCTGCTGTAGCTACCCAACTGTACTACTGGTATTTCTTAATAAAAAAGAAGAAAAGAATAGACAAAGTTAATAGAATTAGTCATCTCCATGTTATACGCAGTCTTCCTTAGTAATGGTAAGGATATTTCTGGTTAGTTTTGGTCAATGTTATCACAAGCTTAGCCAAGTCCAGTTTTGCTTGAGCATCTTCATGCTGTTGTATGCAAGCTAAGAACACAAGCTTACAGATTTACAAATCAACATTCAGTGGACTCATCTTTACTGGAGAGGCTGGATAAGGGTTTCTCAACCTTGATAACTTTAAGATGTGTGGACCTCAACACCCAGAATTCCCCAGCTAGCATGGCAGAGTTGAAATCCACACATCTTATCAAGGTTAAAAAAAACATTGTTTTTCAAAAGCCTTTTTTCAGAATGCTGGAGCCCTGAGCAGGAAATTGGGCTAGCTAGATCTTCTGTACGGATAGTCCTTAATTTATCATTGGTCCTTAATTTACTATCATTTATTCATTTAGCGACAGTTCAAAGTTACAACAGCACTGAAAAAATTGACTTACAACTGGTCTCCTTGCACTTATGACTCTCACACCATCTCCACGGTCATATGATCAAAATTTAGGCACTTGTCAACTTGCATGTATTTACAATAGTTGCAGCCTCCTGGAGTCACGTAATCACCATTTGCGACTTTCTCAGCCAGCTTCCAACAGACAAACTCAATGGGGGAAGCTGGATTCACTTAACAACTACATAATTCACTTAACAACTTCCGTGATTCCCTAAACAACCATGGCAAAAAATATAAAAATGAGCGTGACTCACTTTAACAACTGCCTTGCTTTGCAATAGGAATTCTGATCCCAATTGTAGTCATAAGTCCAGCACTGCTTGTAATGCCTTTGCTGATCCTTGCATCCTAAGTTTAGGATATTGTTTCTTGTATCCCATCATTAGAAATTACTGGCACACTAAGATACATTTATTTTGAAAACGTAATCAGTATTAAAACCTTATGCATTGTCCTGCTCATATAGTAATAAAGACAAATGGTATTTGTAAAGAAAATAAAGATTTTAAAGCCATATGTGTGATATTGAGGTCAGTTTAAATAAGTACCAATTATCTTTTGTAAAATAGTCTTCATAAAAATTACAAATATACAATTATAAAAATGTATACCATTTTCATTGAAAAAAATAGGAAGAATGATTGTTTACTTGACAGAAATATTTACAAATAGGCAGAAAAATCAGCGACAAATGGAACTATAATGCTTGTGCTCTTTATTTAGGTCCAGGAATTACATCTTACTAGTTTAGAAGCTACTCGTGAACTCCCAAAGAAAATGTAAGTATGTCTTCTATCAGCAGAAAAACTTGTAAATAAGAACTATTATAATAAAATTAGATGATTGAAAGATTTTAAATACATATTTTATATTGGCATGATAGAGGAAAAAAATCTCTAGAAGATATGTGTAGGTGCTTTACCTATGGAAAGAGGTTGTTTTCCACATATGCAAGTAAACAAAAAATTAACCCAAATGAAGTATTTATTTCCATTCTAATTACTACAATAAGATATTTTTTATTTGTTTTAGGACTCAGAAAAATGAAGCAAAAAGTATAACCCAAAAGAAGCAGGAAGGGAAGGTATTTTTTTAAAAGGGACATAATTTTAGTAAAAGTTGTATTTTGTAAATACAAGGATGTTTATAGTAATAGTTCTCCTTGGCTACTATTATGTATATTTATTATTGTTTGGTTGGATTGTGTTTTTAATGCTATATCATATGTTGCTGTTGCTAGATGGACAGCTATGCAGGAAAGTGGTGTGGGGAGAGAAATACCACAATTTTACAATGTGAAATTTTAATTTTTTGAAAATTTTTATTTAGTTGAATTTTACTTGCTTTAATTTAAAATACTATATATCAGGGATGTGCTGTATTACATTTCCTTGATAGCAACTAGACAAATCAGTTAATTAAATTAGTAGAATTGTGCTTTAATAAGATCTTAATACTGGTTTTTACAGGATTGCATTGGTTTCCAAGTAGAATATGCTAATGAAGTTATTTAAGTCTTTGAAGAACTTGTATCTTTGACATTTGAGAAAATACATCAACTCGAATTTGGCAGATTGAGATCTAGATTTTCATTTATATGCATGGTATGGGATAGGTTAGAATATTTTAATAGACCATTCAACTATACAGTAATTGCTTCTAAAATATATTAGTAGATAAAATGGTCTGGTGTTTCCTTGCCACATCTAATCAGAACAAGTATTTTGCAGTTCTATAAAAGAATAAAAGTTCTTTTAAACCAAAAAATACATATTTTTCAAAGGAAATGATTTCTTTTTGTTCTATAGGGCAAGACAAATAGAAATTACAAGCATCTTTTCAGTGACACAGACACCGAATATAGAGGTGATGATACGAAGACAGATATTAGCTGGTTAAGGGAATCAAATAGAAAGCCAAAACCTCAGCTTATAAACTACACCAGAGCCAGAAAACCAAGGAAGTCCAAAACTCTGGAACCAGGCAAGATGTATATTTATTACAAAGTCTATAAATCAGATTATTTTTCTGTAATTAAAATGCAGTTCTCTTCAGGTCAATTCAAATATTGGTATTTAAATGAATTCCAGAATCTGGATAGGGATGCTCCCTCGAGTTTCCCAACAGGAGATTGCTAGGTAGAATACAATCCAACTAGTATTCATTCTTACACAATACACTCATACACAATTGACAATACTAGCTTTTGGTACAGGTCAAACATTGTTATCTCTCTACAATTACCCATTTCTGGTTGGATTTTTAATAAAAAAAATGGACCTAGAAATTGTTTGACATGGCGGAAAGGAAATAGAGTAGCTTTATATTTGCCTGCTAAATACATATTCAGAAGTAAGTTCTGCTGAGTTTAGTGGTATTCACAATGAGGATTGGCCTTAAATTGTTTATTTGTAGTATATATACAGAGAAAAATGCAAGTTTTTGCTGTCTCTCAGATTTTTAGTTTATTGTGAACAAAACAGCTCTGATTAATTTCTGGAGTTGGATATTTTATTTCTTCTTGCCATTACTAATCAGAATACATGTTTCATTTTCCCTAGAAGCATAAAAGTACTTTTAAAATATAGCTTATTTTTCAGATTTTCAAATTTAAAAAACTCTTCTATACTTCCTAATTCTTTTGCACACTTTTTTATACTACTTTGTTATTTGTTCTTCCACTACTATTGCAGATGCACAGAACTAGAGATATGTATGTACTGTATATGACCCAAAACATCCCTACTCCTATACTGAGGCTACACCTTTGCTTCTTAGTATAGCACACTTTGCATATCTTAAATTACATTCTAGCACACTACATTCCAATAAGAAAACACTAAAATATTTTAAAATATTTTATCTTAAGTGTATTTTACATGTCCCTTGATTTTTGCCTCTTGTTATTTTATTTACCAACAAATAATTAATTTGATGTCATTGAGAAAATATGAAAATATATTACATATACATAAAACATTTTCTCCATCTCCAGTGCTTGTCCTGAAAGCACAGTTAGAAATTTGAGGCTCCAAGATTGCATGTTGGCCTTGAGCAACGTTTTGCAGCTTCCAGCTTCCCCTCCAACCACAGTCACCAAAATGCCTGCCCTCCTTTTTGCCACAGGAAGAACACACATTCACACAAAATCAAGCAAACTTTTAAGCTTTAATTTATTTTAAATAAGAAAATCTTTCAAACTCCTTACCCTAGGAAAATACAGGAAGTGTGGCATGGCCTCACTTTTACTATTCACTGTTTCAGCATTGATAATCAACATTTCTGCAGTTTTTTATCTGAGCGACAGGAAAAAGTTATGTGCATATGTGAAGGACAAGAAGCAGGGAAACAAGTAGTCAAGTACTGAGGTGGCCATAGTCCACATTGAGTACTACTTGGCACTGTTGCCAAATCGCTGTAATCTGGACTGGAATTTCTGAAGTTAGTTTAAGAGCCGCACAGGAGACAAGCAGTTAAGGTTGCTGTACAGAATTGTTTGACTTTTCTAGGGGCATCTTCTTGCTTACCATTCCCACCCCATCCCATATCTTGATCCCATATTAGAGATTGTCTAATAATTTCCGGAGAGTCTTGTATCTACAAGAAAATGAAAGTAAACTTCAGTCTGAGATCAATTTTAATAAAGTGTTTATCTATTTATCTATCCACCCATCCATCCATAATCTATCTATCTATCTATCTATCTATCTATCTATCTATCTATCTATCTATCTATCTATCTATCTATCTATCTATCTATCTATCTATCTATCTATCTACCTACCTACCTACCTACCTACCTACCTACCTACCTACCTACCTACCTATCATCTAGCTAGCTTGCTAGAAATCTGTTGTCAGGAATCTGTTTGATCTTCCACGTGGTGCAGAGTTTGTCTCCCAGTTGATGTCAGAGTAATTAAGTCCCCCATTACTACTGTGATGTGCTTCCTACATACCTTTGCTAGCTAACTAGCAAAAATTTCATCTATTTCCTCTGTTTGGTTGGGTGGCCTATAGTGTACACCTGTGGCAATGTCATTTCCCCCCCCCTTTTATTTTGACTCAAATTCATTTGAGACAGTTTTTATCATTGTTATGCTCTATTTCTGTAGAGATGTAGTTATTTCTTATATAGAGAGCAACTCCACCTCCTCTTTTATTTGGCGTGTTTCTTTTAAATAACTTAAATCCCTCTAGCTCTGTGTTCCATTTGTGGGTTTCATCTCACCAAGTTTCCGTAATGGCAACAATATCATATTTGCCCTCATTTACCTGCATTTCTAGTTCAGCCTGTTTATTTCACATACTCTGTGCGTTGGTGTATAGACATTTGAGTCCTTTATAACTGACCCCGTGTTTACTTTCTACATAATCTGTGTGGTGCCTGAGTTCCCCTATTTTCTTATCACCTGTTTGATTAGTGCACTTGGTGTGGCACTCACTATTAAAAGCTTGATTTTGCTTGACAGCAAGTTGATATTCTTGTCCACACACATCTCTATGTTACATATAATTTCTAGATTGTCGGGGACAGGAATGTTCTGTATTAATTAACTCATTGTCCCCATTGTTCAGTTTAAACATCTTTACGTAATTGTGGATTGATTGTGTAATTCTAAAATCATGTTGAAAATGCCTTGGTAATTTCTTTATTAAGATGATCAGAAGCAGTGAAAATTGAATGCTAATTGTTTTGATCATTGTAGTAGGATATAATTAACCTTGGGCTTGTTTTGTCATTAATGTTGAATTTTTAGATAATTTCTCTGTATCACCAGGGATGAGGGAAATATCTCCACCCCCAAAAAGCAGAAGTAATAAGGTAACTCTTTCAATTGTTCTTTTTTACAAGCATTGAAACTGTCTGTTTTGCACACAGAAAGAGTTAAATGATCAGATTATTTTTTTAAGATGGTCTGTTCAATCTGCTATTCAATGAGAAGAGTTTCTGTTAAAAAAATATTATTTTATCCTGAGCATAAGAAAAATAACTACCATTTTTTCTACTGTGCTATTCTTGCCTTGATGAATTGTCTTTTGTTTTTTAATGTGGTATATTAATATTTGAAGCTTATTGTATTAAGCTTGTACGGATGACTGTATTTCTTATGAGGTTATACCTAACTGAAAATCCATTTTTGACCAGTTTGTCCCTTCTTGGGGTGAATTAAGACATTGAAATTTCCCAACAAGATGTGATCATCCAGTGTACTTAACATGGCCTTTTCTGAACTACCATCCTCTATAGGTGTTCCTATTCTCCTCCTGCCAGCTTGTCTGGTTGAGATGTAATAATAACAGTATTATGTCACTAGAGAGATCCAGATAGGGAATTCTGACATAGAGTCTCTGAAGCCAATCTCTGTACTGAATTTTACTTTGTAAATAGCTATAAGACATGCTGAACAATTAGGAAAAGATCTAACTTTAATATTAACACAGTGTGCAAAGTATTTTTTAAGAACCTATTTCTAAAAATCAGAATGATAACGATGATGGGGAAAGAATACTACCAACTAGATCAAAAAATCTCAGAAAAGCAGCACGAGACAAAAAATATTACAAAGAACTCTCAAGTTCAGAGATAGAGAGTGAAGAGGAAATTTCTGAATATTTGAATAAGAAGAACACTTCAAATGAATATGTAAGCTTTGCATTTTATTGTACCTTTACTAAAAGCATATGTTCCTGGAATTTGTATTTTAGGGAGTCATTATTTCTGTTTCTGTTTTACCTGCAATATGATTTTCAAAAGAATGGAATAGTATTTAACAAAGAGGAATAACAGTACACTTAATTCAAAGAAAAAAAAAGTTTTACATAAATTTTAAATATTTTTTAAAACAAAACCATTATCTCAGCTACTTTTAATAAGTTCAATTACAATGTCATTTAAAATGTTATCAAAACCAACATCTTTATATGAATTCAATTTAAGCAGCATAATTCTTGGAAAATACAGGGAATTCTCTGACCTTAAATATTTAAGGGAGCAATTTTATGATTTCCTGGGAGGAGACTTGTAAACATAGGATGGTGTGGGCTGTTGTCAATTACTGCAACGGGGGAAAAAAATCCCCAGTTAAGTGAAAAATCCATGGCAGCAAGGATTCCTATAGTACAGTTAGTCCTTGACCTATGATTTGCCCATTGTGGTCATAAGTCACGATGGTTGTAAAGCAAGTCATCATGTGACCAATTTTACTACTAATTTTTTTTGCAGCAGTCCTTAAGCAAATCTCCATGGTCATTAAGTGAATTCACAGTCATTAAGCAAACACCACAATCAATCACGGTTTGCTATGAGGCATTTTTGACAAAAACTGGAAATAAGCACCAGCTTTCAGCAAAAATCATGGTCAGATAACACAGGATGCTGCAAACGGCTGTAAAAGCAGGCTGGTTGCCGAGCACCCAAAATGTGATCATGAGACCGCAAGGGGGGCAACTATCAGAACTTCACAACCAGGTTGTAAGTACATGGGGGTGGGAGAGTTCATTGTAACTTCGAAAGGTCACTAAATGACTGATCGTAAGTCAAGGACTACATGTATCCTTGCCTATGCTGTTGCTGATGTTTCACAGGCAGCAAGTCATGACTATGTTATTCTGGATGTAGATCATGGACTCCACTGTTATCCCGAACACAAAGCAGGGTGAGAGTTACACAGGAGCTGCAGCTGGCATAGAAAAGACAAATCAGAGTAGAGATGAAATATGAAGAAAGGGAAACTGCCATGATAAAGACAAAAGAAACAGGGTGGGAAACAAAACTGTATGAGGTGAAGGAAAGAATATAGACTAACAGAGCTGGGAGAGACCTTGGAAATATTCTGGTCAAAAGAAGGGAGAGAGAAGCTCGTTTGATATTATAAAATTAAGCAAATTCACTAAGCAAACAGACTGGTGTTTTGAATTTATCAACAAGTATGAGACAAATCACAAGTAATGGTTTGGAGAAAAAATATCTTATTGGGTAAGATAGGTCTACAAGTGCTTGTGAGTAGTTTTAGTACCTTAAAAGACTAATGAAAACACAAGACTTACAAGCATCCAAGGAGGAAAGTAAGCTGAAGAAAAAATGGGTAGAAACATGATTTTAGCACAGTGGAAGTTTTACTTGCGTTTCTACCTGGAGCTTCCATTTTGTTTAAGGGAAACTAGATTTTTTAAAAAATAACATTTTAAATACTATTTTGCTTCTTTCAAAAATGCACAGTTTAATTAGTGTGCAGTGAAACTGTGTCTGATAGGTTTTTGTATCTCTAGCCAGAACATAAAATTACAGCAAAATCTAGAGCTGTTAATCAATCCGAGATACAACAACATACACTTGCCAGTGAGACAGTCAAAGGAAAATTGATAAATCAGCCAAAAAGACCTACTAAAGAAAAAGATGACATGATAAAAAAACAAATGGAATTACCATCATCTCCTTCATCTGGGAGTCCACCTTTCTCTGAGATAATGAGATGTAAGATTTATGTTTTGTTGTTACATTTAATTCTAGTAGGACAGTCTTAACTTAAATTTATGTACTTGAGATTTTTCACCAGTTAACAATTTTTGGATAACTATAAGGTATATCTGGTCAGCTTAGTAAACTCCAGCAATTTTGCTATAATATTTTTCCAGCACTATGTTCAGACACTTTGACTTATGCTTAGCTATAAATATACCTTATCACAATAGTTAGCAATGTCTGTAGCGCATAGAAGAGCCCGCTCATGCAATCAGGTATATTTACAATTAACCATAAAGCTATGGATAACCACTACTTTTCTCTCTCTCTCTCTCTCTCTCTCTCTCTCTCTCTCTCTCTCTCTCTATCTATCTATCTATCTCTCTATCTATCTATCTATCTGAACTTCCAATAGGCCTGACCCAAAAGTATAAACTAAAATAGTATCCTTTTCTTAATGCAAATCACACTGTTTTTCTTTTTAAAAAGTGTGACTCCTGGGTGCAGGAATAAGAACATCTTATGCCTGCACCTGGGAATCACATTTTAAAAAAAAGAAAACAGTGTGATTTGCATTAAGAAAGGATATTATTTTAATTTATAGCTTAGAGTTGGTTTAGTCTAAATTTTCTTATAGCAATTTGCTTCTTAAACATAAGCCACATTATTTGGATATAACTTCCATGAGCATGTTTTTTTTTCCTCAAACGCATTTTGGGTGGACTTTAGGTAAGGCAAAGCTGAATATTGGCAGTTTAATGCTGGTCTTTGTCCAATTGTGAAGTCCAGTTTGAGTGAAATACCCACACTTATTTTCAGACGGTGTTGTTTTACTGCTGTAAAAGTCACCTTCTAATAGTTTTCATCTAAAATAAAATGGCTTGCTAATCACTTTTCAGTACTGAGGCTGAAAAAAAATATTTAAAGGAGTACTTCCCAAAGACATGTTGCTGGAACCCAACTGCCCTTAAAAAGTTGAGATGTCCGTATTTTTAGAAAGGTTCAGAGGCACTTTGGAAGCTTTATCAGGTTCTAATAGTCCACATGTCCATGCACAGGCACTTCTGCTGAGACTGCTGGCCAAGTGAAGTGGCTATGCAAGCCCAGGCATATGGAGATGATATGGGGAAAGTTTTTGAAACTTTGCTGAACCTTCTGAAGGATTCATTGGTGTCAGTGCTTCTAGGAGGAATGTTACGTTCTCACCAAAATCCTTTGTGAAGCACTTCAAATCCTTCCATAGCCCACAAAAAATATCATTTCTGAACTCATTTCAGTCACAAAAAAACCTGTAAAAACGAGCTGAGGATGCCCAGTTTTAAAAAGTAGATTTAAAATATGTTCTTGCTACACAAGGTTGCCCCAGAAAAGCAAATGCAACCAACATATGAACTACATCTTGTCTTTTCTTAGATTTCCTTTACAATTTCTATCTTGTGATAAAATAAAAATATTTTAAATGTTTTAGAAAAGACATTGTATTCTCTCAGATGAGCGGTGTGGTGGGCTAGTGGTGAAGGTACTTGCCTCCCAATCGGAAGGTTGAGAGTTCAATCCTAGGTAGCAACTGTGGTTTCCCTCCTAGGGTGCAAAGAAAAAATAATCTGTGAACTCCACGTGGCATCAGGAAGGGCATCCGACCAGTAAATGCTCAGCTCCATCCAGTTGCCCTGACTCTACCCTGAATTAAGGGATTTACAGGGTTATAAAAAGGAAGTTTTATTGTGTTTTCTCAGATATATCATGGCCCATAGCAAAAAAACTGTGGGAAACATTTCCTAAAAATACTGTAATTTATTGTGCATTGTAACATCATTGTAGAGGACTAAAGCTCAGCAGCACCGCATTTCTCATGAAAAAATTATTGGAAAGTAGGAAAGCTTTTTGTTTTCAGAGTACTGAGCTTCAGGGACTAATGTACTGCACAATACAAGGCAACTTTATAGTTTTATTTTTCAGATGTAGATTCCTCATTTGAACTGCTCATAGTTTAGCATTTCAGGGAATACAGCAATTTGTGTCTATGTCTGTTTGCTCCCTTTCCAGCACAAATTTGCAATTTCACTTCTGTTTTAGATTAGTCATAACTTGGTACGATTTATCTACCTTGGTATGATTTTTAAAGCTGGAGGATCGATTGTAGTACATCTTAAATTTGGAAAAAAAGGACTTGGGTAGGTCAGACATGGATCCAATCAGTTTCAACCGTTAGTTCATGAAATTAACTAATTTTAACAACAACAAAAATGGGATTTCAATGATACATCTAAAATAGAAGCTTCTGATCTGGGCTGTGCCAGAGAGAAGAATACACGTGTAAGGTTGATTTAATGTTATATGTTGTAGCCAATATTTTAAAGTCTGTTTATGGAATTTGTTAAGGTTATGAGAAACATAGAGAAGAATCTACTGAAGAGCACATATCAATGAGAAGGTCATCCTTATCGTCCTATCTTGAAGAATTAACACCTGACAAGGAGAAATCCTTAGAAAATATTAAAGAAAATTCTACTATGGGAAAAATTAATTCAGAAAATGAACTATTGAAGGATCTTTCTGAAAAGGGAAGAAAACTGGTATTTGAAACTGAAGATCTCTCACCTGTGATAAGTCCACTTTCTTTGGTAAATATTTACAACCTATTTTAAAATGAGGTTTTCCACTTCCACTGTTTGCTTTTCGGTATTAATTTAAAACTCCCGATCTTCTGCACCGATAGTATAAACCCAGATTGGCCCAGAGGGGTCCTCCTAGAATTTGGCCAAATGGAGGTGATATATGAATTACAAAAATCAAGAGAAGAATAAAAAATACCTTTATATAAAAACCAACTGAGTAAACTGA